AATTAGTACAGCCACTATGGAAAACAGTGTGGAGATTTCTTAAAAAGCTGGAAATAGAACTGCCATATGACCCAGCAATCCCACTTCTGGGCATACACACCGAGGAAACCAGATATGAAAGAGACACGTGCACCCCAATGTTCATCGCAGCACTGTTTATCATAGCCAGGACATGGAAGCAACCTAGATGCCCATCAGCAGACAAATGGATGAGGAAGCTGTGGTACATATACACCATGGAATATTGCTCAGCCATTAAAAAGAATTCATTTGAATCAGTTCTAATGAGATGGATGCAACTGGAGCCTATTATACAGAGTGAAGTAAGCCAGAAAGATAAAGACCATTACAGTATACTAACACATATATATGGAATTTAGAAAGATGGTAACGATAACCCTATATGCAAAACAGAAAAAGAGACTCATGTATAGAACAGACTTGTGGACTCTGTGGGAGAAGGCGAGGGTGGGATGTTTCAAGAGAACAGCATCGAAACATGTATATTATCTAGGGTGAAACAGATCACCAGCCCAGGTTGGATGCATGAGACAAGTGCTCGGGGCTGGTGCACTGGGAAGACCCAGAGGGATCGGGTGGAGAGGGAGGTGGGAGGGGGGACCGGGATGGGGAATACATGTAAATCCATGGCTAATTCATTTCAATGTATGACAAAAACCACTGCAATGTTGTAAAGTAATTAGCCTCCAACTAATAAAAATAAATGGAAAAAAAAAAGAAAAAAAATTTATTCATGTCATATTTAGAAGGCATCCTAAAAACCTGATGAACCACAAAAATATCAAATACTGAATTAATTTTTAAATAGTGAGCCTATTTTTATTTTTATATATTTATACAATTCAAGCCATTCTTTATTGCCAAAACTTGAGTCATCTTTGCTTCTAACCTTTCCTTTTGTCCATGTCCCCCAGCGTAGTCTATCCTGCCCGCTCCTCCTCCCTGCATGTCTTTCTCATGCCTTTATCTTCTTGATGGTCCCATAGTTGCCATGTGAACAACTCCCACTGGTTTTCCTCCCCACTACTCTGGCATCTCACTGGTCTCTTTACTCAGTTCACGTGTAACACCAGTCTTACCACTTTGCAGATCACAGACCCAGACACTGGGCACATCTCCCAGAGCACACTGTCGGTGTGTCTCTCATCTCTCAAAGCTGCAGTGTCTCCCCAGCCTGCCTGAGAAAGTCCATGCTCCTTAGCCTGGTTCCTGAGGTCCCCGAGATGTGGCCTCACTCCTCCGCATCATGCCCACTCACTCCCAGTACGGTCTATGTTCCAGGCACTGTCCACAGTCAGTCCTGCTTGGAGTTCGCCAAAATTCCCAAACCCATGTCATCACTCCTCCTTCTGAAATTTCTCACACGACAGTGATCATCCCCTAGCTGTACTTTCTGTGTAATGTTTAAGAGCTTGAGCTCTGGAGTCAGAGGAACCTGGATTCCATGCAGTCAGTTCTGTACACAGCAGTTTGGGGTGATCTTTATGGCTGATTTGAGTTGTAGCATACAACATTGTAAAAAACAAAAAATAAAAAAAAATGTTTACTTAAACAGAAGGACAGAAGACAGTCCTGTTAATCCACTGACAATCCCAAACAGGAAGTCAATTATGGCAATTCAAATCGTTCTTTGTTACTTTTCTTAATATTGATCAACTATGTAGGCAAAAGGGACTCCCGGAAGTGTGGTGTAATTGCTAAAAAATGCACCAATGAAGGTAGACGCACATCAGCTCACGTCACTCCTCTCATCATGAGCAGCTCATGTCACAGTCCCTCAACGACTTTCCTTCCACTGGAGTAAACGCAAACTCCTTTCGGGTGGTGGTGGGGGGTGGGGGGGGGGCGGGGGGGCGGGGGGGCGGCCGGGTGGGGGGGGGGCGGGGGGGCGGCCCCCCAGCACAGATTCTGCAAACCTCCAGGCTACTTGCTGTTCTCTCCGCTCAGCCGATCAGCACACAGCTTACTTCCTTAATTCAGAACCACCTCCTCAGAGAGGCCTTCCCTGACCATCACTTCAACTAAAGCAATCCCACTGACCCCCACCCAAGGCTCCAGCCCCTCATCCTGCCGTTTTTCTCTAGAGACTCACCACTCCTTGACAGGACATGATATGTTACTCTATGTGTGCATTACATGACCTCCCTACTGCAACTTAGGCTCCCAGGGCAGATGTGGAACCTTGTTCTTTCACCACAGTATCACCAGCTCCAAGAACAGTGCTTCCAGGTGCTCAGTAGACAGATGGATGACATGAATGAACCATCAAGTAAAACAGGCGTCTGTAACTTGCTGTGTGTGAACCTGACCAAATTACTTAACTGCAGAGTTTCTTCATCTGAAGAGAGGGAATGTCAGCAGTCCCGATCTCGCAGGCTGCCAGGAAACTTAAAATTAAATATAAGGTGCTCCACATAGGGCCCTCTTACAGTCAGTGCTAAATCACTCTTGCCTGTTTTATGTCTATATTAGAATAAATTTATTGAGCACATCTTGGTACCTCCTACAGACATTGGAGCCATCAAGTAAGTACTTATTGAATGAACACATAAATGAAACAGTTATCTTTTAATCAACTCCTCAACAAGATGTTCCAGTTTGGGGTTCTCCTCCCTTTTCCACGCCTCCTCCTATGTCCTGTTCTCCTCCCCTTTCTATCCACTGTCATTCCAGCCCAGTCTTTTACACAGACTGCTCTCATCTGCAGCCCATGTTTTGAAATGCAGATTTTAACAAAGCAAACTCAAAGCATCTGTCAACCATAAATGTTGAGACAGAAGAAATCTTTGTGTGTCTTAAACTCTGGAGAATTATAATTATATGTCATATAAGGGTAGATGATAGAAATCAGAGTGAAAAAAATGCTATTTGCTATACAAGATGGAACAGAATAACAATGTACTGAGACAGGAGACTAAGGAAAGTACTGTCAGTTTTAAGGAAGTCGTCACAATTTCATAGGCTAAAATGCATATATTAATTTCAGTTGAGTAGAAAATATTTCTTATCTGCTGGTAACAAGAGACTGTGTTAATAAAAGGTTTATAAACAAATTCCTGAACAAGAATGACTTCAGGATCTGGGTAACCTGAAGTTGTCCCCTCCTAGTTTAGAGGTTTGTCTCTTATTTTTAGGGGTACAAGAGCAGTCCACAAACCTCTCAACTTGCGTTTGACCAGAACACACCGAGGGAGCTGGGCATTGAGACAGCCACTCAGGAAACGGGCAACATGTGTTCTTGGATTTAAAGAGGGGAGAATATTCTCTGAAAAGCTGAACAGGGCCAGGGCGGGGGCCAGAAGGAAGTGCTCTACGGTCCTAAGAAGCAGGTGGTGAGGAGGTTGCCACACCCCGTCCCAGTTGTGGGCGGGCTGGTATCCAGTTCCTCAATTTGAGAAAAAGCACCTGAAGCTCCTGTCCACTGCCTGTAAACCAAGGCATCCAGGGCAGTGGGCTCTCCTGACTATTAATTCAATGAAACCACAGTCAGTCAGTGAAAAAGTTTGGCAAAAATCTTCAAAATGAGACCCCTGCTCTGGGCAGTGAGGGGCTTTCAGCAGCTGGCCCAGGTGGGAAGTGGGGCCAGTGCTAATGACCACACAGTCACAGAGGTCACTGTGGCAGCCAGACCGAGGCCCCTCTCCCCTCTGCTGGAGGGTGAGGGTAGCAGACTTTTCAGACACTCTCTTCCTCCATCCCCCACTCTGCTCCCAGGGCTCCAGTGAAGGAACACACAGAATCAAATGCAGAGACTGATGAGCCTCTGGAAACTTCTTACTCCCTGGCAACAACATCCATGTAACAGGAAACATTCTTTTTTGTTTGTTTGTTGGCCTTGGCATGCGGAACTTCCCCAACCAGGGATCAAACCCATGGGCCCCACAGTGGAAAACACAGAATCTTAACCACTGGACCGCCAGGGAAGTCCAAAGAAACATTCTTGAAGGGAGACAAAAACCAAGAGACAGACCCTTGGCCCTTCTGTTTTTATGACCTCCTTCTAGGCCAGAAATTTGATATCTACACGGCTGTTTGGAAATAATCTGTCCTTTTCTCTGAGGGTGCAGGTGACCCAGCGTCCCTTGACGGTTTTTTCCTCTTTTGATGGGGGAGGCAGCACCACTCTTTTGCCTCTCTTTCCAAGCAGACGAGTTCAAAGCGCTTAAGTGTGGTTGTTTTTCAGGCATTGTTGCTGGAGGGGCAGTGAATTTCCCAATCTGACTGCTCTCTCCTTTGCATTTGGACATTGGCAGACTCTGTTAAGAACTGTCTAAGGGAGAAGGACATTGGCAGTGTCCCTTCTGGGGGTGGAGGGTGGACGGGGAGGACAGGCTCTGTGCTATCTGGCAGGACATTTTCATTGCCCTCAGAGCACAAGTGGGTGCTCTCCACCCCCCGCCCCCACCCCCATACATACGCTCCTCAGCATTTGGGGGCTCAAAGCTGATTTGATAACACCAAATGGTGGATGGCACATGCCACCCATACCTCATGAAGGACACTGGCCGGGGGCCCACAGTCTTCAGGGATGGGCTATGTTCTGGGGCCACCGAAAACTGGGTCAGGTGGGCAGTGGAAAGAGGTGGGGGGAGGCGTCAAGGGAAAGGTAGGACCCATGTTTCATTCCACCTGTGTCCACTGAGCACTCATTCCAGCCTGCCCTGTCCGACTTTCAGGCTTTCTGTGGGGAAGGAGGAAAGAGACAGCCACAGAGGAGAGGAGACTGCCCTGAAATCTGAGAGAAAGGAGAAGAGCCAGCATCACAGGAGAAGAAAGGGGTTTTAAGGAGAAGAGGCAGATGAAAGGTGTCAGGGAGCTTCAAACAGAAAGAGAATGAATAAAGGCTCTTGGTTTGGGACTTTGGGTTTTAGGGTGATCCTTCGGAGATCAATGTATGATGAGAGCAGTATCCTCCTTCCTTTAAAACCCCACTGCACATTCCTCTTTTAATACACTTTAGGGCTATTTTCATGTCTTACCTCTTGGAATGCAAAAATCGGGCTGCTTTTGTTCATCGCACACTCAGAAGTATTGCTCTCAAGTGCAATGCTGTAGTTGCCTGTTTCCTCCCATATCCTCCTGTACACATATTGTGTCGTCAGTGGGCTGTTCAGAGTCAGAGCGAATACACTAAGGCACATGACAGGTTCTACAAATGGAATCTTCATCTTGCTTGGATAGAGAGCTGGAGTTCTATTAAAGAGAAAAGGAGAGAATCAGTTGCACTCTTATCGGAGAGGCTAGGTTTTCAACGATGGGGAAGTTAGGGGCATTTTGTGGAGTAAACAAGCATACTAGGGAACAGAAAGCAGTAAGCACTTGTGAAGAAAATAACTTTTCCTGGTACGCAGTAAACCTGAGACTTTCATACTTCTCATTTTTAAGAGTTGGACCTTTAAGGACTGCTGCTGCTGCTGCTGCTGCTGCTGCTGCTAAGTCGATTCAGTCGTGTCTGACACTGTGCGACCCCATAGACGGCAGCCCGTCCCTGGGATTCTCCAGGCAAGAACACTGGAGTGGGTTGCCATTTCCTTCTCCCTTTAAGGACTCAAGATCGTTAACTTGCACCTTTAAGAGCTCAAGGGACCTTTAAGGACCGTTAACTATGTTAGTCACTCAGCCAAGTGTCCGATTCTTTGGGACCCCATGGACTATAGCCCTCCAGGTTCCTCTGTCCCTGGGATTTCCCAGGCAAGAGTACTGGAGTGGGTTGCCATTCCCTGCTCCAGGGGATCTTCTTGACCTAGGGTTCAGACCTGGGTCTCCTGTATCTACAGGAAGATTCTTTACCATCTGAGCCACCAGGAAAACTCAAGGACTCTAAGAAGATTCTTTAAAATAGTCCTAATAAGTTGTCTCCCACTTGGGCGATCCAGTGATCACACTATAACTCCCACGTCGTATACTGCCAGCTGGTTTTCATAAAGGAAACAGTGAGGTTGCTTTTGGGAAACGACAGTTACGCAATTGTTTATTATTGCTTTGGCTGCTGGTGAACAGCGGGCAGGAAGGGGGCCTTCAACGAAGCAGCTCGCAGTCGTAATAAGGGGTTGTTTCTTTTGTTTAACTCACCCCACGGTCACAGTCTTCCTGCCAGGCTGCTGGGCGCGGGTCTGACCATTGTCGGGGCCTGGAGTCTTGGGGGGGCTGTCTCCTTTGGGGAGGGCCTGCCTGCAGCCCCTCCTGGGCAGAGGTGCACACGGAGGCTGGGCCTGCGCTGCCGCGCTGGGTGGGAAGAGGAATGAAAGTCCGTTGAATTCGACCAAACGCACCTGCTCGGGAAACCTCAAGCCCTTATTTTAAAGCAAACCACGAGAGCGCCCTTCCGCGTCCAGAGCGACAAGCGCGACAGTCCACCGCTCAGCCCTCGCTCGGCTCCGGAGCGGCCCTGCCTGCGATCTCGGCCCGGCGAGTCCCGGGGCCCGCGCGGGGCAGTCGTTTCTGCGTCCCCGGCCTGCTGTCCCTGGGTCCCCCGCCCGGCCTGCGCGCGCGGTGACTCAGCGGCGCCTCCCGCCCCGGGGACTTACCTCTGGAGTGCTAGTCCCCTCCTCACCCCCGCCGCCGGGGCGGGCACTGTCCTGCTTTCCTGCGATTGGGCCCCCTGGCCAGCGCCCCCACGGCGACTGGTCCGCTCCGACGCCACTCTCGAGCGCCCGCCCCCAGAGGCCCGCCCACCCCCGCGGATCCCTCTCCACCCCGCGCAGGCAAGTTCAAGGACTGTGGATAGAGAGCATTTCTGGGACCGAGTGGCGCTTATCACTGGAGCACACAGGAGATCTGTTGCAGAAGTGATATTCTGGGGTGCACCCCCCCCCCAGCAGCCCCGTGGGCTGGGCAAGTGCCCTGGGAAACGCTGAAGAGGGGCACCGGGCGTCCGTGGAGGGTGCAGGAGAGAGAGTTCTCCTAGCAGAGTTAGCTTAGTCGAGAGTGTGGTCGCTGACTCTTCCTGGTGGTAGGACCTTGAGCTAATTATTTCATCTCTGTGAGCTTCCATTTATCTGCCAAGGGGACAGAACAGTCTCACAGGATCGTATTGCTGAAACCCTAGAGGTGGACACAGAGCATAACCCTGGAGCAAAGCGGGGATTGCACTTTCCCTCCAGCGAACCGCCAGGAACACCCCTGAAGATGAACGAGTTGGATTTACTACTTGTAAGGGGGAGGGATGCATACGCAGGGGACCAGGGGGGATCAAAAGCTGTATTTTCCAGGACAGAGGTCTCCAGGAAAGAAGTGTTCTGGAATGGAGGGAGAACCAGGGTAAACCATCTGGGCGACCCGGATCAACCTAAATTTAAAACCAGACTCAAAACAGCTTGACTCATAGACCATAGAAACCTTCTAGTCTAGGCTCCTGACTTTACCCTTAAGAAAACTGAAACCAGAGTAACTGTGTTATTTGTCAATGACAAATTGGCACTTGCCGTCTACCTCTACAAGGATTGAATCATCCGTTACTGCAGCTTCTGACCTTCAACACCTCCTGAAGGAGTTCAAGGTGGAGAGAAATGAGGCACTTTGTGCTGGGGGTGGGAGTGGCTACTGGCAAGACAGGTCTTCAGATAGTTAGATATTTTCAGGAGAAGACTTTATGAGCCCAATTCTTATATCTCCTCATATCTAGAAAAGGACTAAAATCCATAATGACTGTGCCTCATGACTAGCAGAAATGTTCTGGGGAAATATGTGCTCAATTGCCTGTGCATGCATGCATGCTCAGTCGCTTCAGTCGAGTTTGACTCTGTGACCCCACGGACTGTAGCCTGACAAGCTCCTCTGTCCGTGGGATTCTCCAGGCAAAAATACTGGAGTGGGTTGCCTTTCCCTTCTCCAGGGGAATCTTTCCCACCCAGGGATGGAACCTCAAATTACACATACACTGTCCTTCCTCCCTACCTCTTTGAAGCATTTTCTCAGAGATATCTGAGGTGCTGCCTCCTGGGCTGCAGTCCTCATTTTGCCCCCAGTAAAACTTAACTCGAAACTCTCACATTGTGCTTTTTTTTTCTTAAGTCAACATATTCTTCCTGGAACATATTAGTTGCCGTCTTCTAGTCATCTGCTCAGAGAGATAAGAAAAGGACTCTAGTTGGAATCCAGGCCCTACTACTGCTCATCTTTCTTCCTTCATTTTCCTGATAGAAAATGAGTAGAGTTTTTAAGGGCGGGGGGGTGGTTAAGAAGGCAATTTGGAAGTTAAAGAAGGAGATCTTATTTTCTTTTTAAAATTTTATTTATTTATTTTATTTTTGATTGCCCTGGGTCTTCGGTGCTGCACAAGGGCTTTCTCTAGTAGTGGCAAATGAGGGCTACTCTTGCTTGCGGTATGCAGGCTTCTCACTGCGGTGGCTTCCCTTGTGGAGCACAGGCTCTAGGTTGCATGGGCTCAGTATTTGTGATGCACAGGTTTTGCTCTGCCACATATGGGATCATCCAGATTGGGGATCCCCAGACTGGGGATCAAACCTGTGTCTCCTGCATTGGCGGGCAGATTCCTACCCATTGCACCACCAGGGAGAAGTCCAAGAAGAAGACTTTATAAAGGGGAAACTCTGATGGATGTGTGTGCCCCAGGAAGGTGAAATGTATCCTCTTATTTTTCTCCTTGGCAGCTGCTCCCACTATTGCTCAGTATTTACTGCCCTTCTCCAAGCCACTGCACTCTCCAAGGCTATAAAAACAGGGCGGTCACACCACCTTCTCTGTGACACTGATGGGGAGTGAGCCCTTAGGTATTTTTAAATGAAAGGAACTATAACTTGTGCTGTCGGCATTCACACCAGTCCCACCCAACTGGATGGGTTATTTTTTATTTTATATCTCGTGTAACTCTGACCATAGATTTCTAATCTGCAGAAAACCTTCAAGCTGAGGGGAAAAACTAGGGCAAGAGAATAACCCTGATAGTGAGAAGAGAAAGGGGAAGGGGGAATAGGGGAAAAAAAGAAAACTTTTAAGAGTGGAAAGTTTTTGTTTTGTTTTGCTTTTAATTGGAATATAGTTGATTTATACTGTTGTGTTAGTTTCAGACATGGCAACATTTCTCAGTTATACGTATATATATCTCCCCTCATTTTTAGAGTCTTTACCCACGCAGACCTTCACAGAGTATTGGAGAGTCCCTCCCTGGGCTAGACCTTTTTTTCTTTTTAAAATAAGTTTATTTATTTATTTGGCTGCACCAACTGGGTCTTAGTTGCAGCATGTAAGAACTCTTAGTTGGGGTATGTGGGATCTAGTTCCCCAACCTGGGATAAAACCCAGGCCCCTTACATTGGGAGCACAGAGTCTTAGCCCTTGGTCCACCAGGGAAGTCCTAAGGGGAAAGTCTTATATCACCACCTTTCTTGGCTTCTGTCTCTCCCCACAGTCCCTTGAGTATATAAAAGGGTAAATCCAGTCGTTACCTCCTGACCAGTGCCTTCTGTGATGGGCAGAATAGTGCCTGTGTTAGAGAGGCCAGGTCCTCGTCGATGGCACCTGAAGACACATTACCTTGCATGGCTGCAGGGACCTTTCAGGTATGTGATGTTTCTGGATGGCCACAGTGTGATCACAAGGGTCCTAACAATGGAAAGAGGGACATCAGAGAGTAACAACCAGAGAAAGAAGAAGCTAAACTTCTTGCTTTGGACTTTCCAAGTGGCACTCGTGGAAAGAACCTGCCTACCGATGCAGGAGACTTGGGAGATTTGGGTTTGATCCCTGGGTCCAGAGGATCCCTGGAGGAGGGCACGATAACCCACTCCAATATTCTTGCTTGGAGGATCCATGGACAGAGGAACCTGGTGGACTGCAGTCCACAGGGTTGCAAAGAGTCGGAGATGACTGAAGTGACTGAGCACACATACCTCTTGCTTTGAATACAGAGGATGTATCCATAAACGAAGGAACACAGTTGGTATCTAAAAGCCGGAAAAGTTCAGGAAATTGGATTATTCCCTTAAAGGCTCCAGAGGGAGTGTAGCCCTGCTAGCACTTTGATTTGAGCCCAGGAGACCCATTTCAGACTTCTGACCTCGAAACCTTAAGTGAATAGATTCGTATTGTTTAAAAAAAGAAAGAAAAAAAAAAGGGGAAAAGAAAACCTTCAGGTAATCAGAACAGGTAATCTGCAAGTATTCAGGACAAAACTAATCAGAACTCCTTATTAGTGAGCTTTTTTGTT